TCTATATTCTCCATGAAGAAAACTTCTTCCAACCCAATTTCTGAAGGATTTTTCTTTTTTCAACCCAATTTTTCTCAGTGGAAACATTTTGATTTTTAAGTTTGGGCTGTCAAATGAGTCAAAATGAGAGCAAATGAGAGAGCTTCTAAAAAAAATTGAGAATGCTCACACTGTCAGTGTGCCGGCAGCGCTGCGGCAGAATTTCCTACCCTATACTCGCGTGCTATGTAAAATGAGAGTTTGCCCACCACTGCTCTAAACGGAGCGCGATAAAGAAGGTCGGCCTGCGCTTCGGTTGATCTTTGTATGTATGTGTGTCACCCATTCACATACCCGGGTGTATGTGTGCGTGCGATTTCGTTTCAAAGCCAACGTGCAACGGGGGTATGAGCAGTGGGAGGACCTGCGCTCGCGGGCACGCTGAAATATTTTTTCATATTTTCATATTCATTTTTTTTTTTTTTAAATGTTCTGCGAAGAACAAATTCATCGCTACAGATCGACCATTTTGGCAGAAACAAAAACAAGAATGAATTTCTTGTAGTGAAAAGTTTTCGGCATTCCAACAACAAAATTCATTCGGATTAGAACGATTGAGGAGAATAGGGAAAACACGAAAAATTGTTATTGTAATTGCCCTCTGCTTATAATGGGACCAACGATGCTTATGGCGTGAGCAACGAATCTTATGGCGTGAGCAGTCTCCCACACCTCCGTATGCATGAACACTTTCAAAAACAAATGAGCAGCGAGAGCAATGGGATGAGCACCACTGCTATAGGGCTTAGGGCTCGATCAAAAATCGAGATCCAACAAGGCATTATGGACAACATTTCTTAGCTTAACTCCTCTGTCTCTGATTATGAAATTCTTGTTTCCAAATTCATAGTGTTTCGATTGGATCGTCCAACTTTTGCAGGTGGTGTCCTCATTGCTGTTACTAATAAGTACCCTTCTGAAATTATTCCTTTCACGAACGAGTTCGGAATTGAGTTCATTGCGGTGAAAATTTTAACTGGCTCGTCTCATATTTTTCTGACCTGTTCCTACATTCCTCCCATGGCTGAAGATATTGTGTACTTTCACCATCTTGATGCCATTAGGTCTGTCTCTTCGTTGGCCAAGGACCGTGATTTAATCCTAATCATGGGAGATTTCAACCTTCCCATCATTTCCTGGATCCCGTCTGAGGTAGACAATTCCTTGCTTTCCAGTTGTCATAACGACTTTATCGATGGCTTAACCGATCTTGCCCTGCTCCAAATTAATCCAATTCATAACACTCATGGCGATTTCTCGACCTTATTTTTTCTAATGTGTCATCCTCTGTGACAGTCATTCGGTCCCCGCCGCTATCGCTTCCTGAAGACATTCACCACCCTACACTTTTAGCATCGGTGTTAATTGATGTGCCTCACAATGATGCTTGCTTTAATGCTAAACCTCGTTTCAAATGCTTCAGAAAGACTGATTTTATTGCCCTTCGGAATCATTTAGCTGAAATCGATTGGAATTTTCTTTCATCTATAAACACAATTGAAGCAGCTACGGATTCGTTTTACGAAATAATTCATAATGCCTTGAACAAATTTGTTCCGGAAGTCCCTGTATCATTGTCTACAAAACCACCTTGGTATAATAAACACCTTTCTCGTCTTAAGAACAGGAAATCCAGAGCTTACAAAAAGTTTCTTAAGTCAGGATCGATGTGCCACCAGTCAAACTTTCTTTATGTTCGCAACCAGTTTATTATTCTCAACGATCTACTCTATAAGCAGTATATCAGGAATTGTAAGGTAAACTTTCGAAATGATCCAAGCTCCTTCTACTCTTTTGTCAATATGAAACGTAAATCAAATCTTTTTCCTCCTTCCCTATCATATAAAAATATTTCACATTCTTCTGAGCAAGGTATTGCTAATCTCTTTGCGTCATTTTTTCAAACCACCTATTCGTCCGATTCATATAACCACAATTCTACTTATCCTTACAAATTACCACATATAAACAACATTTACTTTACAAAATTTCGAATTCAGGATCTGTTCGAAGCTCTTTCAACAATAGATATATCATTCTCTGCTGGTCCTGACAATGTTCCTAGCTGTGTTCTAAGGTACTGTTCTGATATCCTTTGCTATCCTCTCACTATCTTATTCAACTTATCCTTGGAGCTGGCATGTCTCCCCAAGAGATGGAATGAATCTTTTATTATTCCGCTTCATAAGAAAGGCTCTAAAGAACTTATTGAGAACTACCGGGGGATTGCTAAGCTATCTGCGATTCCCAAACTGCTTGAGAAACTGGTTACTTTCCAACTGCAACATTTTTGTAAAAGTATTATTTCCACTTCACAGCATGGTTTTGTCAAGCATCGCTCTACCACAACTAACCTTCTTGAATTCACTTCGTTTATCCACAGAGGTTTTCTGAGCCGCATACAAACTGATGTGGTGTACACTGACTTTAGTAAAGCGTTTGACTCTGTTAACCACCATCTCCTCCTTCATAAGCTATGTCTTTTGGGGTTTTCTCCTCATATAGTACAGTGGTTGACCTCTTATCTATCGAACCGCACGCAGCGTGTTTTGTTTAAAAACAGTTCATCACAGATTATAAATGTTTCATCTGGTGTCCCACAAGGTAGTCACTTAGGACCTCTTCTGTTTGTTCTTTTTGTCAACGATTTACCTAGTGTTGTAAACTATGCTACTACATTTATGTATGCTGATGATGTCAAGTTATGTCTTTCTTTCTCAGACCATTTCCTTCATAGACACTTGCAACTAGACCTTAACGAAGTCTTCTTGTGGTGCTCAAACAATCTCCTTTTGCTTAACTGCTCTAAGTGTAAGGTTATGACGTTCAATCGCAGTGTGCCTCACATCGCTTCGTACTCTCTTGGGAATAACGTCTTAGATCGTGTTTTCCTAATTAACGATCTTGGAGTAATTTTTGACAATAAGTTGTCCTTCAACGACCACATATCACTAACAGTGAATAAAGCCAGAGGCGTGCTAGCTTTTATCAAACGTTGGTCTAAAGAATTTGATGATCCTTTCACAACTAAAACTCTATACGTATCGTTGGTTCGTCCTATCTTAGAATACTGTTCTAGCGTTTGGAGTCCGCAATACTTTGTTCACCAAAGGAGGATTGAATCAGTCCAAAAGCAGTTTCTGCTATTTGCGTTAAAAGGCTTAAACTGGGATACTGCCACTTCCCTCCCGTCGTATAATTGCCGGTTAAAATTACTAAACCTACCTCCTTTGAAAGAGCGCCGTACTTGTGCTGGGGTTATGCTGCTTCATGTGCTTATTCTTGGACAGGTTGACTCACAAGTACTTCTTGAAAAATTTATGTTTTCTGTGCCTAATAGAGCAACTAGATCATTCCGACCCCTTTGGTTACCAATTTCTAGATCTAATTTTGCGGAACACGATCCATTCCGCGTTATTTGTAAAAATTATAACTCGTTATCCCATTTAATGTCCCCTGAACTATCCCTAGATGTAATTAAATCCAAAATTATGGAATATCTTTTAACTTAATTTATCCTTACTCTTAGTTATAATAATATAGAAATAACAGTTCATTGTTAATAATAATAATAAATAAATATGAGCTTATGCGCACGACGATACATAGTTGGTAAAACCACTAACCATACAGCATGTAAGGTCTGCGAAATTATTCACCTTAAGGGGCCCATCCACATCCGCCTACTTGAATTTCATTTTCCCCACTAACTAGAGCCAACATTCGTGCGAACATCATTTTTCAACAAATTTTCAAACTGTCAACATGTCAACGGACAATGACAGCGGCACTGTAATTGCACTTATGGCAATAAGTATTTGCTTAGAAAAAAAGAAAAAACAAAATGAAGCGAAAAAAAGGAAGCACAGTATGTGGATGAAGGAATGGTATGCAAAGCGGATCAAATTCACACATACGAAGCTTTTAAAGGAGTTGCATGAAACGTCTCCTATGGATTTAAAAAACTTTCTTCGAATGGACAGTTCTACATATGAAAAACTGTTAAATTTAGTAGAGCCTGAGATACGAAGACAGGACACACAAATGCGTGAGGCATGCATTATTACGCAAATGCTTGTTTTAGTATGCACCGCTTTTGGCGTGCCATAGCGCAGGCTCATTTTTTAGGCAATAAATAAAATGTAGCAGGAACTTTGTATTCATTTTGCTCTACCAAAACGTTTTTCTAACTTACGTTCGCGCCAACATTGCCATCCATTGGCGAGCATGTTGTTGCCAACGTTGTCAAAATAAAACGATTTGAATTTCATTCGAACATTTTGACGAACACTACCATCCACAAGAAAAATTTCGTCGAGCACAACATGTTCGCCCAACATGCTCGCCTGTGGATGGGCCCCTTTAGGGTCACACTTTTTTGTTGCATCGAAAAATTTATGGGTATTTCTAAGATGATGCAAAATATTCGTAGTGTTTCCTTTTGTTTTTAACTTGGACGAGCAATGATTGCAAATAGCCTCTTGGCCGCCTGCACATTTTTATACCCTTGCAGAGGGTATTATAATTTTGTCCAAAAGTGTGCAACGCAGTGAAGGAGACATCTCCGACCCTATAAAGTATATATATTCTTGATCAGGATCACCTCCTGAGTTGATATAAGCATGTGCGTCTGTCTGTCTGTCTGTTTCTACGCAAACTAGTCTCTGTTTTCTACTTGAAAATATCGACTTGAAACTTTGCCCACACCCTTGGCAGTCAGTATATACGCAAGTAAGAAGCTTCCATATAACGGATTGGTCGAATAGGCCATAACTTAAGCTATTCGGGATTCTTAAAGGATTATATTTAGGTCCAATTTGTGGGATCAGCAGACTATAGATGTCATATAAGTTAACCATCGGAAATGGTTAACTTCGGTCTTTTTTTAATTTTTATTAAAAGACATTGGTTTAATAGTGAAGTATCATCTCTACTATTACTTTCCGTTCTTGTTTCTTATATTATTTGGTTTCAACAGAACAACTTGGATTCATTAAACTGCAAGGATCCCAGGTCTGAAGGATGGTGCTGCTAAAGAGTCCAAAAACCAGCAGAGCCAATGCATTGACGAAGATGAGAGTCATAAGACCGACATTCCACTCGGTCTTGCTGCCCGTTTCCACAAGGGAAGCGACAAGGAGCGGTGCTAGGAACCCAGACAGGTGTGCCAATGCGTTGGCGAAGCCGGAGATCATGCCCACAAAGGAGGGCGCCATGTACAGCAGAGTCGGCCAATAGCAGTTAAATCCCAGGTCAGTTGAGGCTCTCAAAAGCACGAACATGGCAATGACCAGTATCGTGTCCCCACAGTCCGCCATGATGATGACAAAAAGGAAGCTGATGCTAAGTGTACTGCACATCACATACAGGACCCGACGAATCCAGTCCTGGTTGGGTCCGACACGCCGTTCTACGTAGCTGGCGCCTAGGATGCAGACCAACTTGGAGGCAAGAGCTCCTAGGAACGCAACCGTCACAGTGAGGATCACCTGGCGCCGATTTAACTGCATCGCCTCGAGCAGGAAGTGGGGCAGCAAGGTGGAGAGATTCAGAAAGGTGTAGCAGTGGAACAGGTGGGTAAACAAAAAGGCGTACACAGGCCTGGAACGAAACAGGATCCTCCAGGGCACAGCTGCAACCTTCTGGCTGCTAATCAGGTATCCTTGTTGCAGATACTTAAGTTCATGCTGCGAGATTCGCGGATGCTGTTCTGGGGTATCGTAAATGAGCCAAAAGGAGCAGAAGCCGAAGAGCAGTGATATCGCACCCAACAGATAGAAAGGCAACTCCCAGCTCAAGTCGCTTAGGAACCCGACATAGGATATGCCAGAATGGAGCCCACTAGCTCCCCGGAGCATGCAAAAGATACCAGAGCTGTTCTCTCCGTTGGATGGGCCCAGATGACGAAAAGCTTGTACATTGCTGGACTGCCACAGCCACCAAAAAAACCGCACAAAACGAGGTTTGCCGCAGTCGCTTCAAAGCTGTGATGAGCAATGGCCGGAAGCAGGAGACAAAACACCGCCTCCAAAATGTGCGAGAGTAGGAATATATTCTTTCGGCTGTACCGATCGGCTAAACGGCCGGAGAAAAACACCGAAACCACATAGCCGTAATAGTAAATGCCGAGGAAAATCAGCTCCTGTTTGCGACTCAACTTAAGATCCCCCAACATGCTTATTTTAAGCAGAGAACTTACATCCTGCTGCGGACTAGACCCGTTGCATCTAGCTATTTTGGTGGCATTGCTCTCCACCTCGAAAACATTCTCAACACGATCCTCCGAACGAGGCATTACCATCTGTAGTAGGATAATGCCCAGGATGCCCCGCATGTTAGAATGAAGGCAGGAGCTGGTGAAGGCGCATAGAGCGTAGGTGAACCGCACGGAATTCAGAAGTGTGTAGGCGGATGGGCCAGACTCCGAGAGACGTGGCAAGGTCCATGACTTGCTGGACATGGTAGAATCCAATAATTTGAGAATTTTTATCGCAACCGTGCACACCTAGGGCTTTGGAGTAACTGACTGAAGCAAGTGAAGAAAGCTCTATTAAAAATACCATTAAACGCAGTTTAAAACTAAGTCAAGAAATTTATGAAGCTTAGACAATTATTTATTTATGGCAAACCCATCGTTCAAAATAATTCCCAGGTATACGAAACTGGGCTCATAAATACAACCGTTTTTATGTTGACAGCAAATTCAAGGAAAAAACAAACAAACACTACTTCGCAGACATTCATTTGATTTAAAAAAAAAAATTATCCGTTTCCACTTAGTATTAAATATATATGTACTAATATACATATTATGTAACACAATGCCTGATACGGATAAAGTTATTCAATAACTCAATCGTAGTATTGCCAGGAAAGAATAATATTCTTAAGAGGCTAAAGTTAGAAAAGTGGATGACATTTTTATCACCGTTTTAAAGCGAGATATATTAGAAAATGTATTTGGCGTCATAGCTGTGACGAAAATTTGAGAGTTTAGATATCGACACTTGCACGTTTGTCACGTTTTTAAACATGATAACTTTTAAAAAACTGTTTAATTCAATTATACTTCTTTTAAAGAAGACCAAAAAATATGCTTTTCAATAATCGGAAGCCTACAAAAAATAAACCACACTTTGGCAAACTTGTCCAATTTTAGAGTAGCAAATCCCATATATGTAGGTATAATTTGGGGACAACATTTTTTACATAAGTTTATTTGTTTTAACTTTACAGTATATAAATACATTTTAGCTTTTTATGTCAAATACTTACTTCCTCTCAGGTAGATAAGAAATACATTAAATCAATGCGGCGCCATCTAGACGGCTGTGTCAAAACATTCGTATTTACTTACACAATCGCACGTAAAAAAAAGCTTTTACAAACACAGTTGCCACTTTTGGTACAAATGTACCAAAACTGACAAATTTGTTATGTGTGGGTATGTACATTGGATCAATTTCTCATATTGGTAAATTTTTAATTTATCTGGTCTATCTGGTCTAGAAGTATTTAAATTTTGTTCATAAAATTTTATGTTCACACATATTATTTTCAAAAATGGCTCTACTTCTCAAGACACAAATTTTGTATCAGTTAGACCAGTGGTCGGCACCCCAATACATTGAATTGATTTTACCGCATTAGTGTTAGTAACGAATAGCAGAAAGTAGGCTGTGAGCATGACATTTCACACATGTATGCTGTGTGTGTGTGGCAGAGCTCGGGCAGAGAAATTTCCTATGCCCCCGAGATAGGGCCGTGCCGACCTCTGAGTTAGACTATCCATGACTAACACTTGAAAATATCGCATACCAGGGAGCTTGCCGACCAATCAGCTAACTCAACAACCAAAATGCGTCGTATTTTTACTCCAAACATAAATTTTACAGACACCTCAGCATAAAAATTAGCATAAGACATTTTTTTTTATCTATGCCCGCCATCTTTGATTTTGACATGATTTTGTATATGATAAAAAATAAATATTGTAACCGTGCACAATTGCGGCTGAAATTTCTGATGTTTTAAAGGTAAAAGTGGTCATGAAAGGGTTAAAAATTGTCATACCATTTCATCTAATGTAGATAAATTAAATCTAACACAAATGTGGCGCCATCTAAACATCAAGGGCGAAATCAATAATAATATTTATTTTCAAATTTTTAAATAAAACGATGAAGTTAGCAGGGACTTTTTTGAAATTTCACCCAAAAACTGGTTATCTTTGTATCAAATTATTCCTCATACTTTTTTTTCAATAGTGCTGGGTATTTGAAATAATCAATTAAAAAATTAAAGTCCCATTTTTTAAAACCTTAAAATAGCCTTTAAAATTGAACCAGAATTTAAAGTTTTAAGATTTAATTTAAAGTATACATTTACTTTATACTTTTTTTACCCATTCTTAAAAAGTCATCCACAAATTAAAATCAAAATTTCTTAACAGAGGTTTAACAGTGGCAACGACATTTCACGACTTAGTAAGTAATGCAAGCTAATTAATTAAAGAGTTCTGACTTGAGTTCGAGGTAGATAGCAAAGAGTTTCAAATGTTATTTTCAGAAATTTGTTGTTAAGACCAATATCTAAGAAGATATTAAATAAAAAAACTGTATTTTTTCTGTATATTTTCTGTAAACTGTAATATTTCTGTATTTGGTTTTTTTAAATCATATCCTTAAGCAAAAGGAGTTCTGATGAGAGTAACGCGTAGCAAGAGAAGAGTTCTAAAGGTCCTTCTTAGAAACTTTTTATTTAAGATCAATATTTAAAATACTATTATAGATCAGTATCAATATTTAATTTTAATTATAGATCAATATTTAAAATACTATTTAAAACCATAAGTTTTAATTTTCAGTAAACATGTTAACAGAGTTTTATATTAAATTCGGCCCAAGGGTAGGCAACTAAAAAACGGTTCATGGCATTCGTTTTAGCAGATCAATGTTAACATTTTTGAATTACTAAACAAATTTTTAAAAAGTATTTAAATGAAAATATTATGATATTATGAAGCATTGAGTAATATTTCATGCAATAGGCTTGTAAAAAAAATGAGGGAATGTCTACGTTGGTGAAGTTGTGGAATTTTATAAAACCGCCTAACACCCCTGCCCATATTTTCAATTCACAAAAATTTAAATAAACAACATTACAAAAATTTAAATAAATAACATTACAGTAAATCATAAATCGAAGTGAAAAGCTCATAAAATTGCCGAAATAGCAGGTTATGTTTTTGAAAATATTTCATTACCTATTGAAATCGATGAAATTGTACTTTCAGGATATTTTTAAAACAAACATTATTGGTTATATTTTGTGTTGAAATCTGTAAACAGGCACCTTTTAAAAACGGTAAACGCCTTTATGACTAAAAACCAGATAGGACGGCTGTAGTCGAGTTCCCCGACTTTATTATACCCGGTACTCATCTTTTCCACAGAAAATTTAACTTTTTTTTTTGCTTTTTTTTTTACTTATTTATAACCCGTACAGCATAAAATGTACCTTAAGGGGGACATCTGAGTAACAGGCCAAAAAAGGGTTTTTCTCGAATTTTTTTGGCCAAATCAAAACAGCTAATCGAAAATTTGTAAATGGGGTTTTATTATATTATATTTAAACTACACAATAACATTTTTTTTTAATAAATCGAAAACAAAATGGCGGCCCTGCAACCCTTATTCGTAGGCCCTATTTTTTTAAAGGGGGTCCACGGCCGAATACCTAACGTCCTTAATTTTTGATCTAGAACAAAAAATCAAGTTTGGTTAGTTTCTTTATCTCAACGGCTATCGACATACGTAGGATTTTTTCGATATATTGATTTTTTCCAAAATGGCAAGTGATTGAACAAAATTTTCAATTTTCACGAACCAAAAACGTCACAAAATTGTTGATAAAAAAAAAGTAAGCAAAATGAAAAAAAACTACGTGTGTCGATAGACATAGGTATTCTGAGTATACTGTCAAATAGGTGTTCGGCCAACTCAAAAAAAGTGGTTTCGAGAAAAACGCGTTTAAAGTTTTAAGTACTGTGGGATATACCTGTGAGGCATCGCCGCAGAATGGAAAATTTCGACACTTAGACACTTTGGCCGGACTCTATCTTTTGATATGTTATTTTTAAGACCCAAAAGAATTTTTTAAGCGAAAAAAAAAATTTTCGATTTTTTCAAAACTCTACTCAGATGTCCCCCCTTAACAGAAAATTTAACTAACCTTTATAATTTCAGCTTTAACGGTACGGATTCTTAGCATCAAATTTTTGTTGCACACTTTTGCGCTTGGGCAAAACAACAACAAACCTACGGCCATAATACCGATTCAGTATAAAATCAGACTAAAAAGTCTATAACTCGTCTACAAATTATCCGATTTGGCTGCTTTTTGGTTTGTACGTGTAGATTAGCCATCGGAACAGTTTGGCATTAAAATGTAAAAAAAATACTTATTAAATAATTTGTTTGCATCAAAAACATGTCCTGTAAAGAAACTATATAGAAGCAAAATCTGTGAAAAGGATTTTTATACCCGGTACTCGTCGTAAAGTACAATAATATATTGTATACTTAAGGGGGGACTTCTGAGTAACAGGCGAAAAAAAACTGATTTTCTGGAATTTTTTTTGGCTAAATGAAAAAGCCAATCGAAAATTTGTAAATGAGGTTTTATTATATTATATTTAAAGTACAAAATAAATTTCTTTGTAATAAATCGAAAACAAAATGGCGGATCTGCAGCCTTTATTCGTAGGCCCTATTTTTTAAGGGGGTCCATGGCCGAACACCTAACGTCCTTAATTTTTGATCTAAAACAAAAAATCAAGTTTGGTTAGTTTTTGTACATCAACGGCTATCGAAACACGTAGGATTTTTTCGATATATTGATTTTTTCCAAAACGGTGAGTGATTGAAGAAAATGTTAAATTTTCACGAACAAAAAACGTCACAAAATTCTTAATAAAAAAAGTAAGCAATATAAAAAAAAAATCCTACGTGTGTCGATAGACATAGGTATTCTGAGTATACGGCGTCCCTCAAGGAAGTCATCTTGGCCCGTTATTATTTACGCTTTTTATAAACGACTTGCCCCCTGCTTTAACGAACTCTCTAGTTCTTATGTATGCAGATGATGTAAAGCTTTGTCTTCAGTACAAATCCATCTCTGCCCAATGCAGTCTTCAGTCTGACCTTGATAACTTTCAAAAATGGTGTTTAGCTAATGATCTAATACTTAATGGATCTAAATGCAAACATATGTCTTTTTATCGTTCTTGCCCTCTGCAAGCTACTTATTCTATTAATGGGATTGCCTTAGAAAAATTAACCCAGGTTAATGATCTCGGCATCCTATTAGACATCAAACTTAAATTTGCCGACCATATTTCCTTAATGGTTAATAAGGCTAAAGGAGTCCTTGGTTTTATCAAAAGGTGGTCAAAAGAAT